TAACCTATGGGTTCGCCTATCCAATCAGCCCAAAAAGGGGTTCCACGGACTATCGGGAGCGCAGTATATCGGCCAATTTTCCTCGATAATCCCCGACCCTTAACCCGATTTCCCGCAGACAAATCTCAATCATTACTAGGGGGATTTTAGGGGGAATTTCAACTATGTGCTAATCGATAACTATAACTGCATTTTTATAAGGATTTATCTTAACCGTAGGGATTTAATTGCTGTCTTTACTGATTACTTTCGTGATTATTTTAGCGCAGCGAGTCTGGAGAAAAATCAGAGAAGGTAACAGGTTGCTGTCTCCGAGGGGAGATTAGGTAGCAGGTAGCCTGTTGATTGGGGATTTTTAAGATAGCTTTTCCCGGATTTTGTTTAGATAGCAGGTAGCTTCTCGCGAGTTTTGCTCAGGTAGCAGGTAGCTGATAGAAGAGGTCTCGGGACCGTTTTGGTCAGATATTTATTTGAATTTTCGCGGTTCTCTCTCGCCCTTACGCTAGGTAATTACCCTACAGCAATACAGGTGACGGATTCGCCGGGAATTTCGTCACAGCATCTATAGATCTATACCTGCATCATTGAATTCAATTGATAAATATTCTAGCAGTGCTTCGATTTTGTTAGGAATGAGAAAGAATACATTAAAAATACTGAGTAAATTGATAAAGTCTCTGTATCAGCTTCATTATTCAAAATTCAATTGCGGTTGAGGCGTTAGATTCTCGACAACTTATTTCAATCTCCATACATGGTGTAGCTGTAATTTTTATGATGAAAAATGAAAAAAAAAATATAATGTGTCTCAATGAGAGTTTCATTGTGTATTGTGAGCAAATTGCGATTGGAATTGGGTGATTTTGAAATCAATGTATTTGGAAATACTGATGGGCATTAAGTTTCGACGAAAGAATATGAATGTACCTCTAGAAAAAATGCTTCCATTGAAGGTAAGACTGGTCCACATCTCTTCGAAACACAGTAGACTAATAGCAATGAAAATTCAGTGGAGTCAAGGCAGAATTGGATTTGGAATAAGACACCCCGAGAAAGAATCATTTTAAAATTAGCGGGACCGTATTAACTTAATGTTTGTGAAACCTTCGGATGGACAGTAACCTGTATGCATATTTAAACTGCTCTGTCTAAAGCTGCATTCCTCAATACTAAATACTTATACAGTTGTCTCTAAAGGAAACTACAATTCAAGTTATTTGTCCCTGTTTTCTTGAATTTCTTTCATTTCAATGGATATTAAAACAATTATTAAACAATAATTGACAGAAATATCGGGTAATTGATTCAATATTTGCTTCGTTAGGTACTCAATTTGATTAAATTTTCAAGCCTAAGTGGATGGCTACGACTCTGAATGTGAGGTTGCATTTCCTGAAAGAAATTACAAATTTATTCACTCATTTCGATATCCGCCAATTTATAATTTTGAAAAAATGCGTCAAGCACATATTTCGATGTGGTTCATTTGAAAAAAAAAATGGAAAAAAAACTTGAAACAACAATTACTAAAAAATTGAAGCCACAATTATTGAAATTTGAAAAAAATATACAAATAAAAAAAGACGCCAAGCTAATTGAATTCACCAGTGGGGAAAGCTGGTGATGATAGGATTCCATAAATCGTTTTGAGTTCTTCTCTATGATTGTTTTGACTAAGACGAGTCCCATAATATCCTACGAAGGACATCTCAATCAAATCGACTACTCGACTCAAGTCGAAAGGGGTAAAAAGGGCATTGTGAATCAAAAAATTATTCAGCAATATGGTCAGGATCAACGTACTTGGCGCCGTTTTTTTCGAAACTCACCAGTTTCTCTTTAGAAGCAGCGATAATAGAGTACTTTCCTCAATTACACGAACTGTCGTTCAGTCTGGGAATTCTTGGGGAATCAACAAAACTAAAAATTCAAATGAAAGTTCCATCTGGTTATCATGAAAAGGCCGATCAGTTTGATAATCTTGATGAGCAGACCATCAGACTAAGAAAGTTTCTTCGATTCAACTATGTACCACAGTTGATGCATAGGGATGAACGATTCTCACGGGAAACTTCTCAGTTAGCAGTGCCATCCAGGTTAGCACTGCTCATGTCAAGTTTCACGGGCAGCTTTTAACGAAAAAAGGAAAGATCGCATATCCAAATAGGTTAGGTTATCAGGAAAAACCGTGCCTAGTACGTTGATCCTGACCATATTGCTGAATAATTTTTTGATTCACAATGCCCTTTTTACCCCTTTCGACTTCTGTCGAGTAGTCGATTTGATTGTGATGTCCTTTGTAGGATATTATGGGACTCGTCTTAGTCAAGACATTGCCCCACGAGTCACTACCCCGATTAATAAACGAGAAAGAGATACTGTAAGAAGGAACTATTGCAAAAGGAGTGAAACTACTATTGTGAGGACCGTTCTGAGGAGAACTAGTCGGGAGAGGAATTTTGGAACGAGATCGTTGTTGAACTATTGTGCCCAGGACCCAGGGACAGAGACTGGAGAAGGAGGAAGGAGGAGAAACATAAAAAAAAACCGAGAGGATTGTTGAGGACGTTATTCCCCGTGAGTTCCCCCCCAACGGTGAGCCTCCAGTAAATTAATTGTCTTTGTAGTTTAAGTCCCCTATTAAATAGCACTTTTACACTTGGCCCCTCACCTCCCCCTTTTTTTCAAAGGTAGAATCATCCCCTTTTTGTTATATTGTCTCGCGTAGCCGCAACTGAGTTGGCCTTACCCCCCACCCTCGAGTTAATTAGTTAGTAGTGAAAAGGCCTGGATTATTTTCTTTATTAATATTTGTGTGCCAGAGTTCGGAATATACAAACTAATCAATCTACCTAAATCGCACTGAGTAATTACTTAGAACGCCCCTCTCACTTATTATTTCAGGTCCCCCTTAAATTATTCAAATTATTGGATTTTGCCCCAAGTTTAATTTTCCCGGATCTATCGTGTCTTCTCCGAGAATTAATATGTTTTAATTCACCGGCCAAGGTCACATTACATAATTATTACATCGTCGTGTAGAGACTTTTCTTTTGCCCCTGCCAACTCTCTTGGAAATCGGGTATTGGCGTTGGAATAATAGGGCTTCATTTTTTAGCTCCAAGGAACCAACAAATCTCAACTTTCGACACTATTTTCAGTTAGTGGGGCCCAATTTAGATTGAAATTTAATGTGACACAATTTTCCCCCTAATTGTTTACCGATTTTTTAATTTGTTAAGATCATGCCGTTTAAAAAAAAACGGTTTCATAAGGAATCAACAAATCTGGACATTTCAGGCGAATCTCAATAGTTTGACCATGAATTTACGCGACGATTTTTTTCTTAATTGTTTACCGAATTTCGCATTTCTTCACAAAAATGAAGACGTTGAATAAAAAATGTTCTGAGAAAACAATCAATCTCGACGTTTTACACTATCCTACGTTGGCTGAGCCATTGTTTGCACAGCAGTATTTCCACCATTTGTTTCATAATATTTCAATTTGTCGACAACAAGACAACCTTAAATAGAAGTTTCTGAGGGTACAATAAATTTCGATCTTTCCGGCAATTGTCTACCGTTTGGCTATTTACTTTCACCACAAAGTTTGTACAATTTGTTGAACAAATTCCGAATTTGTTAAGAAAGATGAAGCCGTTCCAAAAAAAGTTTTAGATAAACTAATAAATTTCGCCGTTTTACATTATTCTAGGTCGATTGAGTGTACATTTACAAAATAATTTTTCCCCCCATTTTTGAACAATTTATATATTTGTTAATAGCAATGAGGCATGCCAAATATAGTTGGAAATAAATCTGTCCGAGGGAACGCTAATGTATGATATTTCAGACAATTTTCTACGATTCAAACATAAATCTACAAACGATTTTTTTTGTCCCGTAGAAATAAAACTCTCTCAGCGACGTAACAACGGAATTACCCCATCAATTTGTCATTTAACATAAAGTTAAGTTAAGTTTGTGTTGTGGATGGGCGGGGAAGCCTCCCTATTGCCGCCGAACTCCGTTGTGAGTTATTGTAGCTCCGCTTATTTTTAGGTTGCGGATTAAATCTCTAGCCCGGCCTCTATAGCCAGTCTTGAGAAGTCCGAACCTTTTCTTCCCCTGATCTGATCACTAGTGGGGAAAGCAATTCCCCAGCATTGCAATCTCGTCACGGCTAATGCTGGGCAGTCGCACATGATGTGCAGGCTGTCCTCTGGTTCCTCTTTGCAAAATCTACACAGGGCATCTTCGCTGATGCCTATTGTTTTGCAATGGGCTTTAAATCTCCCATGTCCTGTGAGTCATCTGATCACTGTGCTCAAGTCTTTCTTTGTCCATGTTGACAAGCTGTTTGGCTCTCGTGCTGCTTGGGCCAAGCATAGCTGCCCAGGCTTTCCTGCTGCTCTCTATGTTTTTCCAACGGTTAGTGTGTTCCCGCTGAATCTTGTTTTTAATGGCTTTTTGGCCCACGGTTGAGGGGACACCAACTGGTTGCGCTACGGCTTCACATCGTGACCCTTGCTTCGCCAGTCTGTCCGCTTCCTCGTTGCCGTCGATGCCTTCGTGTCCTGGGACCCACGCCAAGGTTGTCTTGTTGTGTTTTCCCAGCCTTTCTAGCTCCTCCATGGTTTCCCAGATTAGTTTTGAGTTTGTGCTAGGTTTTAGGAGTGCTTTGATGGCGGCCTGACTGTCCGACCAAATATATATACTTGTTCATCGTCTGCCCATTTGCCAGAAGATCAGCGCAATTTTTTATGGCCAAGACTTCTACTTGGAATACTGAGCCGTCGGTCCCCAGGGACCAGCTATCCTCATAGTGCTCCATCGGTACATATAGCTTCGCTCCATAGCTGTCCTTTTGTCCTGAACCGTCCCCCCTGCCCTCCCAAGACCTTTACCAGTCTTAATACCTCGGACAAACTCCCTATGCCACTGCTGAACTTCTTCCAGTCGTCGTATCTGGCTTTCGCCAGAGCTCTGTTGTATTCTCTAGAGATTCTTGCGTTCTTCCAGCGCCTTACTCTTGTGTATACTATCGCAAAAGTTCTTTACCTTGTTCCACGCCTTCCTCAGCTGATTCCGTAGGCTCGTTAGTGTGTTATTCCACCAGCAAACTTTTTTGGTTCCCGTCTGGGTGCCTGGGACACAGTTGTTTTTAAAGAAACGTTTCACCGCCTCTCCGAAACTTTCGGCCGCATGCTCTAGTTGCTCTCGATTCTTGAATCTGCTGGGTACGTCCTGGATTCTCAAGGAGAGCTCCTCTCTGTAACCCTTCCAGTCTGAGTTCTTTGGATTTCTCCGTTGAATTATGTCCGTCCTTCCAGTCAGGCTTAGGCGAATTTGACTGTGGTCCGATCCCGAGGGCTCTTTAGAGACCCTCCAGTCTCTTACCACGTCCACCATACCCGTTGTGAAGATGGTGATATCCAGCACTTCATGTCTTCTGCAGTCCATGAAGGTTGGATGCGTTCCCCTGTTTAAAAGCATAAGGTCTTTTTCCATAATGAAGTTGTGTAGGGCTTCTTCTTTTGCATTGGTATTGGAGCTTCCCCATCCAACATGATGAGAGTTAGCATCGCAGCCCAGCAGGAGTTCTAGCCCGCTTTCCTTCATTTTGCTGATTAGTTCCTCCACGCAGTCCTATCGCGCATAGTTGAAGGAGTTCCGGATATCCAGCGTTACTAAGAAGCAGTACTTCTTAGTACCCCTGTGCCATCTTGATCCTGAGATCGCTTCTCTGGCAGTTCTCACCACCAGGTCGATGGCCCCAAGGGTCGATCTACCTCTCCTGAAGCCGTACTGATTTTCGGCCAGCAATGAATCCACAAGCGCTTCGATCCTTCTATGGATGATGCGCTCAAGGACCTTCCCTGCAGTGTTGAGTATGCAGAGGGGACGATACGATGACGGTTCGTCCGGTGGCTTCTTCCCTTTCGGGAGCAACACCAACCTCTGTCTCTTCGATGCTGCCGGGAATGTACCTTTCCTGAGCCAGTCACTGTAGACCTCCATAAAGAGGTCCGGCAGAGCCTGGATGGCCGCCTTCAGGGCGACATTAGGAACTCCATCAAGGCCAGTGGCCTTGGAATTTCCAATTCTGCCACACGGTTCCATTAGTCCCTCTTTAGTGACGGTGGAATAATCTGCAGTTCCTCCCCTCCTCTAAGACGCTGAAGGTCGGTCTGCCGAAGGAAGAGTACAAGGACGATTTTCTCCAGTAGGATAGGACACATCGGCGATGGGATAGGTTGGCATTTAAGCCGCGCCATAACCGCCGCGTATGGTCTGCCCCATGGATCGTCTTCCACCTGGGTCACCAGCTCTTTCTAACGCTAAGTTTTTGCCCCGCTTTATTGCTTTTGCAAGCTTGCGTCGTGCCGCCTTGTATGTGTCCTCCAAGGTGGCAAAGTGCGGTCCCTTTCGACCCCTCCTGGCCGCCTTGCATTCTTTAAGGAGAGATGCAATCTCCTCGTTCCACCAGTAAACTGGTGGGCGTATGGTAGCGGTTTGCTTCCTAGGCATGGTAGCATCACACGCTCTCGTGAGAATACTCATGACTTCCGCGGCCCTCCTAGCGGCGCCGGTACCGCTAATTGAGCAGTCATCCAGCGCCACCAAGAAGACATCGGGGTGAAAAGAGTTCCCCTTCCACCCAACGGTATTCGCCCTCTTTGGCATCGGCCCGCCTTTTAGGCTGGTCGACACTTCCCAAAGAAGCCCGGTGGTCGCACGCCGTACATGCGTTGCTCACCTCCCACGAGTGGTTCCCCTTTGCAAGGTTGCCACTCACAGAGGTGAGGTCCACCATGGAGCTTGCCTCTCCCCTAGTAAAAGTGGGTTCTTTCCCACTGTTGAGGAGGAGCAAGTCCAGTGACGCCATGGTTTAGAACACAACTTGTCCTTTATGGTTCGTCTCTCGGCTCTCTCAGCCGACCGCCCAGGCGTTGAAGTCTCCCGCGATAACCACGGGGGTATATTGCTTCGCATCCTCAGACAGTCGATCGAGGAAGTCCGTCAACTCCTCAATCGAGAGGCTCGGCGGGGCATAGTAACTGTGGACGTGAATCCCAGCCACTCTGGCCCGCACAAAGCCTTGCTCTTTTGAGTCATTCGTGCTCTCAAAAGGTTTCTTCCCACGAGCCCAGATGGCAGTTCCCCGGCTCGTGTCCGTTACCCATGGTTGAGTGTCTAAATAGAGGTATGGTTCCGAGACGCTTACCAGATCTACCTCCAGCTCTCCCACAGTTTGCCCTAGGAGTTCATGGGCGGATGCGCAGTGATTGAGGTTTATTTGCAAAACTCCAATCGCCTGTTGCTTGTGAGCTTCTGGATCGCGGCTTTAAACGCCGGGCATCTGCCACTGCCCGCGATATGCGCCGAGTTCTCTTTCGCTCCACTGCCGGTGCAGAGGGCACATTTCCGTGCCTTACTGCACTCGGCCACTTTATGGCCAGGCTCTGCACATCTGATTCAGAGCTAGGACTTGTCCACCTGACTCTTACACTGGGTTGCGACATGACCATACGGCCAGCACTTAAGCACTTGGCTGGTCTCTCCACCCTTGCAGTCCGACAGTTTACCCATCCGATTTTGATGCTGGCTCGTTCGCCAAGGATCTTCCTCACCACTGCCGCTGCCAGAGTCACCGCAGCGGTCTATGTTCCCCTGAACACCTTCCTGATGACCCTGACTGCGCCCGGGTCGATCGAGAAACCGTCTCCCGCGGCTTCTTGGAGTGCTATCAGGACATCCTCTTTGGTAGTCACTTCATGGAGGTCCCTGATCTCCAGGTCCTCCTGAGGGCCCTTGCTGAGGACCTTTGCCTCCTCACCGAGAAGGTCGGCGATGGTCTTACCAGAGCCAGGGGGCTCCGTTCTTCGCCTTTCTCCTCAGGGTAAGCAGCATTTCTCCAGTTGTGGTCCTGCGTATGCTCTCCACACAACTGGCTTGCTCCTGCGGGACTTCCTTTTTCACTCGGCGAAGGAGGTCACAATACCGCTCCTTAACAGCAGGACGCACTATTAGCGCATCGGGTTTCATCGGTGGAGTCCTTTTCTGCTGCGCTTTCCTCGGCCCCTTCCCTTTCGGGTGGGTTGGGGGCAACTTGGGTTTGCCTTCATCCGGCTTGGGATTTTTCGTCTTCTTGCCCGCCACCACTTTCCAGGCGTACTGGTCGGTGGTCTGGCTGAGCGGTTGGGGGGTTTGGCCCTCCGTGCTAGCAGGCGTCTGCTGCTTGGTCTTCTTCTGCACCTGGTTAAGACCCCCAAGTGAGTCCTTGGACCGCTTCCTCCTTAGTCCTTTGCGGACTTCCCTCTCCTCCTCCACGTCAGTATCTTTGATCGTGGTCTCAGAGTCCAACCGCTTTCGCAGGCTTTTCGTGAGTGCTGTTACCGCACTCGACACTTTATCACTGTTCTGCCTCCTTTCGAGATCTTTCAATCTCCGGAAGGTACCACAGATGGACGTCACCTTCCACTTTATTTCGCGGTGGACGTTCGGCTTGGGCTGTATGAGATCATGCAGCACAAAGATTAGTTCTCCCAGTATGGAGAACGCCTCCTTCTACTGTGAGTTATGCGGGATCTGTGATGATCCTCCATTCACTCCAGTGCACAGGAGGTTCTTCTTGGTTGTGGCCTGCCAGCCACTACCATCGACACTTGTCTCTTTAGCCATCGCGGCGTCCAAGCGGTCCACCTCCACGATGCTGCAGTCGTTGGATGAAGACGAATGGGAGCCTGCTTTCGCACTCCCAGACGACTGTACTGAGGTATCCCCCCTCTGCAACGTAAACGAGGCTGGCTTTATGATGTCCATGTTAATCGTAATGTGTGTTTGGTACGCGGGAATGGTTTTAATTCGTCCCTACCCTTCTGCCCCGAAATAAATAGGGTTTGACGAGCATTCCCATATTCGCCACCTGGGGACGCACCATGTAGCAGTGTCACCTCTGCGTGCGGGGAGAGGGGTACAGTATATGTGCGCACGGAGGTATAAGTCGTGTGTACATAGGCAGTACTAATCGAAAAAAGGCATAGTATTTGTAGTTTCATAGGTGGATTGTTCAGAAGAATACTAACCCTACTAAGGAAACGAGTATCAGCTGTTGGAAGAGAGGCTCTACGTTCAGGCGTGAATGCCACAGGTGATGGTCTCGAATGTAATATGCATCTGAAAGAGTCTCAGACAAGTCGTGCACGGGAATCCGGTATCAATTTGAAGAGGAATGCAGAGGACAAACGTGACACCCTAATGTCTAGTTCTGGATATAACATAGGGGATATGTTATCACACCCTCAGTCTACGATTGGCCGTGCTCCATGCCAGCCCAAACGCCACAAGTTAACATCTGGGTGTTGGCAGGAAGAAGAATCCAAGTGTGACGAAAAAACGCAGAGCTCAACTACGAAGAAACCTATAAAAATTAAAAGGCAGAGGAGAAAATCGACCAAATTACGAACAGTGGGAGATCTTTCACGTAAAACATGGAGTTTTCACATAGTCATTCATTTGAGGGAGTGAAAAGTGAGTTGGACTTATTTTCTTTACCCCGAACGCAGACAGCCATAGAATCCTCATACGATGTATACTATAAGCCAACAGCCTCACTCGTAGCTAATTCACCCATCGAGTTCGATATACCAGGACAAGCTACCAATACATTGACTTAGCTCAGAACCGGCTATTGTTACGCATTACGATACCAACCCTAGTCGCGGAGAAGAATCCTACACCGTCCACTTGTTGCGGCCTACGGGCGGCTGGACGATCGGGGATTTTCTCAAGAGGGTGACCCCCAAAACTGAATTGACCGCGACCAGTTACGTCTAAACGGAGGCCAAAGTTAAATGGGCTCGTATTGTGTGGGATAAAACACTGAAGTGTACCATGCTAGGTTACGCAGGAATTCTGATTAGTGAGAGAATCGCGCAGAGATAGAGAGGAAAACTTTCTATTGAT